TTTAAATGTTCTAGGAGCCATTTGTGGCCCCATTCCTGATCCCTAGAGGAGGAAGCCAAAGTTTGGCTTTTATCTTCCACTTTCATCTGGAATTCAGACCTGAGGAACACTCGGCAAGATGACGGAAGTACCTGGGGGAGTGAAAGACTGCTTCTGTCAAGGACTAGCACAAGTTTTGGGCAAACCTGTCTGACACCTCATCAAGAGTGCTTTCTCTTTTCTTCAGGTGTCTTGGCAGGCCTGAAAATAGCCAGTCCCAGTGGGTACCAAAACAGTGCATGAAACCCTGGAGGGGGGGGGCAGTTCTCCAAAGGCAGAATTCCATGGAGTAGAGAAGGGACAACGGGGAGAACTGATGAAGTCCTGACAACACAAGCCAAGGAGGACCAATGCCATTTAACATATATTTATTGAAATCTACTCAATGCAAGGCACTGTGCTAGATTTGGTAGAAGGGCAACCCCTGTCTTCTAAGAGCTCACAATCTAACAAGTGGAGGATGGGGCAGGAGGGGAGGGATAGGAGAAGCCAAATCAACAAACAGCTCTAGTGCAAGGCTGATTCTAGTGAGTACCATAAAACAGACAAGGTAATGAAGTTGTGGAGGAACAAGAAAAACAGTGGCCCAAAACAGAAATACAAACTGTCGCAGGTGGACATATCAACTGCTCTGAGATATACAAGTAACATTGATGGTCAAGTCTGAAGAGACTATTTCTATTTCTGAAAGTAAATATACAGACAGGTGCAATGAGAACTCTAGAATGTAAGCAGACTAGCAACAGAGGAGTTATCAATCCCCTACTCTGATCAATTTGCTGGGAAAACACTTCTAAAATGGAGAACAGAATAGGCAGTGATGAACTCATTATCTGGACCAAACATGGCTTTAGGAAAGGAACAATATTTGGGCAGAAAAATTCACGTGTTAAACTCACGGAGACTAGAAGGCATAGATTTTCACCCATTCTAGTGAACAGAATACAGTACATTTAAACAAGTGTTCATGACAGTCAGGTGGGCCTGGTCAGGAATGCTAGCCGGGTAGTTGAAAAGGAATTCCAGCAATGTAATTTTTCTTGGGAAGCAGAAAAATAGTCAAATGAAATTAGCTTTGGACAGGTTGCAAAAAAGCAGAGACCCACTCAAGCTGGCTCAGGTTAAGGGAGACTATAGTAGCAACACATATGAAACAATGAGGGTAGACACCAGCAAAGCTAGTCCTCCCTCAGGTCAGTGAGACGAAAGGAGTGCTGGGAAGTCCAGCAGGAGCCCACAGACCTTCGACTTGGTGCCACCTACAAGGGCCATTCCTCAAAAAATGCAAGTGGTTCTCTCTCTAGTCCCAAAATCAACCAGAAGCTCCAATTTTCTTTTTATTTCAGACTTGACAGACTCAGTCCATCATCTCTAGCCACATCCAATGACTACCGACTGCCCTTGGACTAGGTGTTGGCTCTGGTTTAATTAGTGTGAACTAGAGCTAGTCACATGGCACATAAGGCCACAGCCCCGGGCTGGAGGCGGGGCAGGTGCCATGCCACTGCAAGCACAAAATCAAACACCCACAATGCACTATCATGGAAGATGCTCACTGTGATCGTATTTTCCAGGAATGCATGAATCGGCATGACACAACCAACTGACAGTTAATCATAAGTGCACCCCTCCTGAAAAAAGCAAACTGATTTTTTTCTTTTTTAAAAAGTTTCAGCTAGGACCCAAAACTGTAATGAAAACAATGGAGGGGTTAGAAGCCAGTGGCTCACACTTATAAAATCCTAGCTATTCATGGGAGGCTGAGAGCTGAGGATTGTGTTTTGAAGCCAGCCTGGGCAGGAAAGTCTAAGACTCTTATCCACAGTTAAGTACTAAAAAGCCAGAAGTGAAGTTGTGGCTCAAATAGTAGGACGCTAGCCTTAAATAGAAACAGCTTGGGGATGGCACATAGGCTCCGAGTTCAAGTCCCAAGACTGACAAACAAACCAACAATAGAGCGCTCTTTCTTTTATCTTTTGTCGGTTATGGGGCTTAAACTCTGAGCCTGGGCGCTGTCCTTCAGCTCTTCAGCTCAAGGCAAGTGCTTTACCACTTGAGCCACAGCGCCACTTCTGGTTTTCTGGTAGTTTATTGGAGATAAGAGTCTCACGGACTTTCCTGCCCTGGCAGGCTTTGAATCATGATCCTCAGATCTCAGCCTCCTGAGTAGCTAGGATGACAGGCATTAGCCACCAGAGCCAGATAGGCCTCTTTCTTTTAATGTAGTAACAGGATGTATTTTTACTGAGTGCTAGAATTCCATGTAATCTCAAAGCATTCCATTTGTGGTACAGTAAGAATACATGTGATTAGAAAGAAAATGCAATGAGGTAGATATATGAATGCATAGGCAAGCATACACACAACAGGAAGCTTGCTCACATTTGGAAAGGATGTAGCAGTATTCCTAGAGATTAAAAAACAAAACCCATTGCTATGTGTCCTGAAGCAAAGGATATACCTGGTGAAACTACAGAACACATTAAAGCCACAGGCTACATTTGGAGAGAGTGTGGATTTCACCACCAACACGATGAAAAGCTTATCCAGCAATAATAATATTTAAAAAATGATCTTTAGTGTTAACTTTGAAAAAGGATTTAAGAGAAATCAAACCAAAACTAGCAAAAAATAAAGCAAGGTAGAAAGGGATGCCAAGACACCATGACCTGGCTGGGAGTAATGACCGGTAGGCTATGCTTTAGTCTAGATTCTAATGGGACCTTTCATTATCCCTGACAAATGACAAGTGAATGAGCAAGAAATAGCAGTCTGTCCTTCAAGGCAAAGGAGGCAGGTTTTCCCCTGATAGACACCAACACTTCTTCCCCAATGATGAGTGTACAAAACATGTAACAGTTCAAAAAGATGAAGGTGGTAGGAGAAAAATGCAAGCACTGAGTCCAGAGAGCAAAAGGAATTAGTATGAAACAAGGGCTCTTGGATTCCCTCCAGCCTGTGGGTCAGGATGGAGATGATCCATAGGGCCACAGGGGCCCTAGGGACAATGGTGTCCAGTAAGGCTTTCCAGATTATACCCACTTGGGAGCCCTGCACCTCCTTCAGTGGGCTGTCAGAAAGCCATACTTCTTGTCCAAGTTCTCTAGTACTCCCCATGGGCACAGCTGCTGGGACTTGATGCCACAGCCCTGGTGTGGCCAGCTTATTTGCCAGCCCTGGCTGCTATTTCATCTGTGGGATGCTGTCATCCCAAGTGACAAACCAACATCAGCATGACCAGCTTCTCTTTCTAGGCCACACAGACTGTGAGAACAGCCTCACTGCCCTCCAGAACCTTACTCTGTCGCCCCTCTTGGGCATGACAACTGCACATTCTGGCCCAGGCCCAGTACAACCAGCTCATATCAGCATGACAAGGAGGCCACTGGATAAACACAGTTCCTCCTCAGGCCTCTGCTCTCTTGGCTGCAGGAAGTAATACCGGAACATGTGGACATATTTCTCCCTCTTTGTCCAAAGTAGAAGACACTAAACTGGTGTTTCTTTCCAGAGTCACTCACCGAGAGAAGGATGTCGTCCATGTGATGACATTAGGTAAGCAAATCGTCTTGTGTCTGGGATATTTCTCATTTAAGTAAATCTGCTCAGTCACTAAGTCCATGCCCAGCATTGCCAAGGCTCCTGGGAGCTTGAAGGATGGGGCAGCTGCTGCCAGACTTGAGTTTAGAGCATCCTGCTGGTGTAGGTGAGACTAAGCCCTGTCGTTGGTGGCTAGAATTCTATCGACAAGCATTCAGGTGTGCTCTGGGCAGCACGTGATGCTCATGTCTCTAGAGTGCCTCCAGGGCCCAGGCTGGATAGTCGAGTACCACCCACAGAAGTACACAGTCTGCATGTTCGATGAGGAATGTGCCTGCTTCTCTGGCCTATTCTCATCCTGATTGCCCACCTGGAAAATGTACCTTCCAGTGGACAAGAGATTCAACTTTGCATTTGTAGGTAAATTCTAGAAGAAAGTGTCATATCTAAGTACTGAAGCAAAGACAGCCACAACTTAGATAAAAATGAATGCTGACATAGATAAAAAAACAAATGCTTGCACAACAAAAATATAATAGAAGCGCTACAAAGAGCAGAGCAATAAAAATTGGAAAAGAACATCGCCATCAACAAAGAAGTGTTCTATAAAGTCAATCTATCCAAAGGGAACTTGGTAATGAGTCAAAGGAGATGTACATCCAATTTGCATGCAAGAAAACGGAATAGTATTGAGGTCATTGCATGAAAGATGAGACTAGTAGGCAGGAGGCCCGAGATCCATCCCCGGTTCTGGTACTAATGAGCCGTAGGATGACAGCAGTAACTGTGGCCTTCACTTAGAGTGTACCTCCGTGCTGGTGTGTGCAGCGCTCTGCAGGGCTGATGGCAGTCCTCATAATAACATTAGGAGGTCGGTGCTGTGCTTGCCCACTTTACAGAGCAGCAAATGGAGGACTGGAGAAATACCATTTAGGCTAGATAACAGGAGAGGCTCTTGTTTCCAAGGGGGCATTGTCACCCAATTCTCGAGTTCCCGAGATGCCTCTCTTATTTGGGGATGTCTATAGGGGTCACCAGCGTGAATTGGCTTAAGAAACACTGAGGCAGAAAATAACCTTAATTCAGTAACTTTTACTAGGAGTGTGGCTTAGGACTAACGTTTTAGAGGCTAAAAAAATATCCTTTAAAAGGTCATTTGAAAAAGCACCACTTTATGTGGTTATATTACACTTATAGGAGCTGTCTTAATACTATCTGATTATGTTCTTATGGCTTCGGAGGAAATTTCTAGTGAGAGTCTCATGAGGGATTGTCACAGTGCTACCACACAGGCTTCAAATGGGAGGGACTGGCTGTGCTCTAAAACTTGTGTGATGACCGAAAGAGATTCATGCTCATGTCTGCAAAGACCATGAGTTCAAAATCGCATGAGGGGAGTTAGAATAAAATGATTTCACAAAATTAGCATGGTAAAAAGGAGTATTCTCTGAATTAATATATTATTCTATATAGGATGTGATTTACAATAGGTATTGTATGTATAAGTAAGTTAATAAATTAAATATTAAGATTTTTGAGTGCTCTGTTTACATCCCTAAAAATGTATAAACTCAAGTAGGCCAAAAAGCGTTGGGGGCAAGCTTCTCTTAGAGAAGGGTGGGATCACATCAGATTGATACCATGGTCAGGCACCTGTGTTTGTTTCTGTCAGGGGCAGAGCTTGGAACAGATCACTTCCAGTCCTTCCCTGCTCCTACATCCAGATCTCCCTTCTCATTCAGGACATGACGATTACAGCACCTTGACAGTACTTTCTGCCAGGTGAACAAGCCAAGCTAAGTAAAAACGGCAAAGCTTCTCTTGATGAGCAGAATGGAAATGTGTACACTTAGGAATTGCTGGTGGCAGTATAAGCTGGCTCAACCTCTCTGACACTAAAAGAGTTAAGCGGTACAAAACAGTTCATCTCCTTTGACTCTGCCATGGCCTCTAGGAACCAGAGGTGTTCCTCTCACAGTGCGGGCATGTCTACTCTTGGTGGCTGGGCTGATGCTTCTGCAGGGCCGAGCGCCTCTTGAACACACGGCCACACTTACTGCATTCGCAGCGTCTGGTCCCACTGTGGATCCGCCGGTGGCGACTCAGGCCCGAGCTCCTCCGGAAAGCCTTGCCACACTTGTCACACTCATAGGGTTTCAGTCCACTGTGGATGCGCCGATGCTTGATGAGGTCGGAGGGCCCCCGGAAGGCTTTGCCACACTCGCCACACACGTAAGGGCGCTCTCCACTGTGGATGCGAGTGTGCTCCAGAAGGCTGGAGCTCTGCCGGAAGGCTTTGCCACACTCGCTGCACTCATAGGGCTTCTCACCTGTGTGGATACGCCGGTGCTTGGTGAGCTCCGAGCTCCTCCGGAAGAGCTTGCCACAGTGCGGGCATCCATAGGGCTTGGCCCCGCTGTGGATGCGCTGGTGCTCGGCCAGGCCATTGATGCCCCGGAAGGACTTGCCACAGTCATCGCAGTCAAAGGGCAGGTGGCCTGTGTGCATCCGCTGGTGCTTGAGAAGTTCCTGACGATCCAAGAAATCTCGGCTGCATGCCTTGCAGGCAAAGGGCTTTTCCAAAGTGTGAAGCTTCTGGTGTTGAAAGAGGTGCGTGTTGGCTTTGAAGGACTGGCCACACTCCTCGCAGTCAAAGGGCTTCTCTCTGCTGTGCACTCTCAAGTGCTGACTGAGGCCTGCATTCTTCTTAAACCTTTTCCCACATTCCTCACATGCAAAGGGCTTGGCCTCTCTCTCCATTTGCTCCCTCTTTTCAATGACATCTTCCAGGGCCTGACTGGGGCCAGGTCGAGGCTGGCTGGCTACGTGGCTTTTCCTGTGCTCATTAAATTCTGACACCTTCCTGAAGACTTCCCCACAATCACCACAGTCCCAGCCCTTCTCTTCACTGTGCACACTCTGGTGCTGAACAAGGAGCACTTTAAGCCGGAAGGTGTCCCCGCACTCTTTACATGCAAAATGGTGCTCTATGGGTAGATTTGGTGGGCTCCCTTCCCTCCCATCCAAGTCCCCATTCTGTTTGACCTCAGCACCGGGGTCACTGGTCCTGGGGTAGCTCGTGGAGGCCGTCTCCTGAGGCTGGCCTTCTTTTCCCATTGTCAGCTGGTGGGTCACAGAGGTGCTTTCTGCAAGGATAAGTAGGGAACACTGCAGTCTGCAAAGAGTGCAGGAAGGACGCAGCCTTTCTCTATCAATCAAGCTGCTGAGCACTGGGCTTGAACCTAGGTGCCACCAGAAACTAGCACACGGGGAAGGACTAAAGGACCTGAACGCTGGACATTGCCTACACAAAGGGGTGTTAAGGAGGTCTCCCTTTGGGAGAGCAGCCACATCCCTCCCTGAAGCCTCAAATGGGCTCTCAAACAGAATCTCAGACTCCCATCAGCTCAGTTAATGTGTCCAAGATTAACTCAACTACAGCAGCTCAGATCAATCCTCTAGGCCTAAACCAAACCCAAGACCAGTCAGCTGTGCCTCCCCACCTCCCAGTTTCCTCATACTTCTTTGGGTTATTTTTCACTCACCGGAATGTTTAGCTTGACCTGTGCCGAGGGATGAATCTGAGACCAGCAGTACTTGTCCTTGTGCCAGGTGTGAGACCAAGGTAGGATTCAACACAGGAACTCCTGCTTGTGGAAAAGGAAATGGGTTAAGAGACAGACATCAGAAGAAAGAATAGAGGCAAGGCTTCAAAGGGAAAACCCCTTCAAGTCCTCAAAGACTTGGCTGGCTGTGACTCTAGGCAAGACATTCATGCAGATCAAATGTAGTTCCCAGCTCCTACTGAGCACTGGAGGAAGGCAAGACTCCAGGCTCTCTTGGGGAGGCTCCAGTGGGACATGGTAGGTGGCCTCCCACTGTCTACTCCCAGTGCCCACACACTGAATCTCATGCTTGTCTCAGATCTGGGAACTTCTGCTACTCCCAACAGTCTTTCTTCCCAGTACCTCCCCTTCACACATGCAGAGTCTCATCCTGTCCACTCCTTTCAACAATAAACTTTAATCAAATAGCCAGACAATTCATAGAATCCATGGGCTAATGAAAGTATCCTAACTGCTTTTCAGCCTACCAGCTAAGATCAAGTGGTGTATCTGCTCTATTTGTTTACTATCTACTTCATTCTTTATCCAAGGACAATATATTAAATTAAAAGTATTCTAAATGCTAGTGAGAAGCTTGTTATAATAAAAGACTGCAAGGGGGCTCTTTCTGTGCCATGAGGAGTTGGGGAACTTGGAGATGTCTACTGTGGCAGATCCTCTGCATTTCTCTATTACCTAGGGACAAGTGAGGCAGTGTGGGGTTGTCCCTACTCCACTCCTACGAGGCAGCAAACCTGGGAAAGGGCTCAGTTCATCCTTACCAATGGAGGTCACATTCCCGTAATATGCCAGCATCCTCTGTTCAGGGTTCAGACTCAACCACTCCCTTTTTGTGAAGTGCCATGCCACATCAAATGGCACCAAATCCTGAAAGAATTTCCAGGAATAATCAGTCTTTCCATTTAGTCTGCAATGAGATTGAGGTGTCACAAGGAGTGCTAATGGCAAGAGGTGAGGGCCTGGAGTGAGTGAGTGAGTGAGTGTGTGTGTGTGTGTGTGTGTGTGTGTGTGTGTGTGTGTATTCTGCTAACATGAGGATCCAACTACAAGCTTCAAGAAGTCCTGGTGGCCCAGCCCTGGCCTCCTACTATCTTTGCCAAGGGATCTCAGTTTAATCATGTTCCCATTCTGAAATTCAGCTTTCCCACCTCTAGGATGGGAATTCAAAGTCCTGTGGGCATCGATTTCTTAGCCTTCAGAAGAGAAACAGAGGACAATAAATGGAGGCAAAAGCTGGGCTTCACACACTATTGAATGCCATGCTGGGCAAGAGGCAGAGGCTATGGCCAAAATCAGGAAGCAGAGACAGAATCCCAAGCAAGGCAGAGGGAAGTACAGCTCACCTGGGCCTCGGGCACCTCAAGAGGGACTGCCAGGACCTGGTTTCCTGGGGTTCCATCCTGGGTAAGAGCAAGACCTTGGGGAGCAGGTGGAGCTAAGGAAAGTGAAAAAAAGCTATCAGTGACAACAGCTCTATTTCTGGGTACCCTGTGATGGGAATGGTGATTTCCTGTTCCCAGTTTGTAAGTCCTGTTGGGTCCTTTCTCATATGCAAGCCAGGCATGGATATGCCTAAGAAAACTTAACTCAAACAATGGGAAAGTAAGGTGATGCCAAATTAATATAGGCCAACCAGGAGGGGTCAAAATAAAGCAAACAAATGCCAGTCCTGGTGAAGCCAAAGATAGCCACAGAGAACCTATGGCAAGGAGACCAGCTCTTAAAAAGGCAGGCTGACCATAGGCCTCCCTCACAGGAAGCCTTGAAGAGGTCAAAGTACATACTGTACAGGAAGGCTAAAAACAATATTGGCAGAAAAAATTAGGAAGCGAAGCCAGGTACTTGTGGCTCATGCCTGTAATCTTAGCTACTTGGGAGGTGGGGATCACTGCTCAAGACCAGTTGGGGAAGAAAAGTTCATGAGATTTTGTCTTCATAGAAAGGAAGCTAGATGTTGCAGCATAGGCCTGTGATCCCAGCAATAGCAGGTGAATTATGGCTAGGGTGCTTGCCAGGTGGGAAGTGAGACCTTATCCTAAAAATAACAAGTAAAAAACAGGCTTAGAGGTATGGCTCAGCAGGACAGCTGCCTAGCCAGTGGGAAGCTTTAAGTTCAAACTCCAGTACTACCAAAACAAACAAACAAATAGGAGATAAGAAGCCCTTTCCAGCCTTGTACAAGGAAACAAAACTGGATCAGGCTACTAAAAGAGAGGGAACCAAGTGTAGGAACCAAGGCTTCTTGACCCTTGATGAGGCACTTAAAAGCCATGCCCCACTAAAATAAATTTGCCAGGTGAAAGTCAGTTGCACATGAAAACTTTGCTCTTGAATCATTCAACAAAATGAAAAGTTGATAAAAAAAATGTCTGGAAAAGAAAGGCTCAAAGAAAAGACCTTCAAACAGCATGTTGCCAAATAAAAGATCGATAATACATACATGCAACCTTTTTCTTCTAAATAATAAAATATGTGAAACATTGTCTGAGCCATCATAGGCCTCCTCTGTTGTTGAGTTCAAAGAAACAAGTTCTAATGTCAACTCAGTTCAACCCACAGTTAAGTGAAAAGAAGCATTTAAGTGCTAGCACTAGGACCACAAAATCCAGCTGCTTCAGAAATGACTTTTAAATAAGATTAAATATGTTAAGTTATAAGGGGTGGACAGAACTTTCAACGTATGGCCAGGATGATATAACAAGGAACAGATTTCATGTCTTGCTATCATTATAAACTAGTAGAAAACTGGAGAAACTGTATGCGAAACACTAATTTTCAGATCTGGGCTGCAGGAAGCATGAGATTATGATCCCTGAGAGAAACAAATGAGGTGAGCACTGTCAACACCCCAGTTCTCTGTCTGGAAGTAATTTCCAGATTGAGAGTGTAGAGAAGGTGAAACCAAACAGCTTAGTGGGTTCGTTAAAAACTGAGGAGAAACAGCCCAGCATTCAGGCTAGTGGAGGCAGCCGGAAGTTGCAGCAAAGTTCTGAAAAGATTGTACTAAATCCTTAATAATCTACAACAAGCTTCCCATACATCTTTTCTTACTACTAAACCAAAGCTATATAAGACCTACCCTACAAAACCTTACAAATAAGCCAGCTGCTGGTGGTTCATACCTGCAATCCTAGCTACATTGGAGTCTGAGATTGGGAGGATCAAGGTTCCAAGGCTAGCCTGGACAAAAAAAGTCCAAGAGACTCGAGCTCCACAGAAGAAGCTGGGCAAGATTTTGCACATCTTTCATCCTAAATACGGTGGGGAGTAAAAGACAAGATTATACTCTAGCCATGTACCTTGTCAAGAAGCAAGACCCTATCTTGAAAATATCCCATGCAAAAAAGGGCTGGAAGTGTAGTTTAGTGGTAGAACTCCTGCCTAACAAGCAAAAGGCCCTGAGTCCCAACCCAGTGCTGCCAAAAAGTTTAAAATGGGGCTCAATGGGAAAACAACCCATAATTCCCCAAACCCAGACACTCAACATAATCCTTACAATGTCTAGTATCCAGCCTAAAATTACTGAAATGCCAAGAAACACAAAATGTAACCCATGGCAAGGAGAATAATCAGCCAATAGAAGCATCCAGAAATGACTGATAGATAAGATAAAAAGAACTAAATGAAACGTCTAAAGATAAACAGGATATTAAAAATAAAAAAATCTCACAGATGTGATTAACAGTAACATAACATTGGTGAGCTTGAAGATACAACAGTAGAAACTATCTCAAATGAAGCTCCTAGAGAAAGATGCACCCAAATAATCAAGTTTCTGAAAAGAAGTGATAAAGAGAAAAATGTTATTTAGAGGAAAGAAATAATGCAGTATTCAGAAAAATAAAAGTAAGAACAGTCAATGACTTCATGGAAAACATATAACCTAGAGAACAATTAAATGACATGTTTAAGTGCTAAAAGAAAAATACCTTTTCAACCTACATTTGTACATTAGGCAACATGTCTCTCAAAAATGAAAGCAAAATAAATATTTTTCCAGACAAAATCCAGGAGAATTTGTCACCAGCAGACCTGTATGATAAGAATCAGTAAAGGAGTTTTTCAGGTAAAAGGAAAGTAAAACTAGATTAACTTGGATCTACATAAAGACATGAAAGAATATCAGGAATTTAAATATGTGGGGAAAGATAAAAGATTTTTACTTTCTTCACTTTTAAATCCTTAAAAATATTGATCATTTCAAATAAAAACAGAGACAAGGTGGTGTGGGGTAAATAACATGCAGAAGAAATACATATGATGGTGTGCTTTAGCAAGCCCTCCAAGACTCTGGTGAATATTAATAATCCAAAAGGAAGAGGAAGGGGAAAAACAGATGGGACAAACAAATAAATGGCAAGATAACTAACTTAAACTCAGTCACATGGATAATAAAGTTAAATATAAATGCACTAAACACTCCAAAAAAGGAGTGATTGTGTTGTGCTTAAAAGTGAGACTCAGTTATGTGCTATGTACAAAGATGATGTTAAAATTATGAAAAACAATAAACTATAACCAATAGGAAAATTCTAATTCCAATATCATAAAAAATGTATGTGGTGGAAAAGAGTGTGAATGATGACGGTGGCTCTGAAGATTCATAGAACTCGGATTAAAAAGAAAACTGAAGGACTTTAATATAAAATCAGATAACAGGATGACATGCAGTAGATTACAAAAGTGTTAATTTTTTATTGAAGATAAAGGCAGAAGTAATTAACTTTTCACTGAAATCCCAACGAAGGTAAAGAATGTGGGAAGAATAACTATGTGATTTCCATTTTCACAGGAAAAGGAAAAGAAAGAGAGTGCTTCATAGCTGGAATAAGCACGCCTGTACTTATATGAATATGTAGCACACGGGGGATGATCAAATGTCTAGAAAGGATTGTCCTCTCTTTCTGCAATGCGTAAAGTTTTAATAACCAAACTCTATGTGTGAGATATCAGAAAAGGGCAGTTTTTAAACATCCTGGTAGACCTTGTATAAGAAAGACGCTCACAACTCAAGAGACAATAGGAGAGATAGATCTGCTAGGTTGCTCCCACACAAGCTATCAGCACCTTGGACAGGTATGGGCAGGTCTTGAGCCCCAGCTCCATTTCCAGCTTTTCTGGTGGTTAACTGAAGATGAGTCTCATGGGCTTTCTTGCCAAAGCTGGCTTCAAACTGAGATCCTTACAGGTGTAAGCCAATGGTGCCCAACACTCTGTTCTCAGTTTTTAGTGTCTCCTAGCACAGAAGCTTTCTCAGTTTTTCCCCTGTATGTTTAGCAGGCAAGCCCCTTCTGTGTCCTAGTATCACTATGGCAGGGTCACTGTGGTCTCTTGGACCCTTCCTGGTGTTGATATTCAATATCTAGTTTGATTTTGGCTTCCGATACAAGACAAACTGGTTAGAAATTTCTTACATAATTTATTTTCTTACAATGGACATTGGTGTGTGGCAAATGTAATGAAAAGGAAGACATCATATCATATATGCACCCTTTGTTTAACAAAAATGACCCGTTACAGACTTTCCTAATTGCCTTCCTATACAAGGCCCTGGTTCAGTCCACCTATCACATACCCTACCCCTCATGTCTCAGTTACTCCATCTAGACACCCTGACTTTTACACACCTCTCATTTATGCCCGCAAGGCCCGTGAACCTGCCTAAAATACTATTCATACAGGCTAGGAAGGTCCTTCAAATATGGCAGGCATTAACTCAAATGTCACCTTCTCAAACATCTTTACTCTTTAACTTCATCATAGTTTACTAAAACACATTAATGGGAAGTCCCCTATGAAGTTGTTTAGTCTTCTCAAGAAAAACGCCAATTTCAACAAAGCAGGGGCTTCTCTTTTATTGTTTCCCCCCAGAATCCCCTATGTTTTCAGCAGCTCCTGGCTTCAAGGAGGTATATGATATATTGTGGAGTGATTGTATCAATATGTGTGGGAGTGACATGTTAAACAGAACAAACATCCATTTATCGAGTACTCAGTATGCAGAATTGGAGCTGTGGATTACCCTTCATATAATTTGATTGTGACAACCTATGGTTATTATATTATCTCCAGTTTATGGAGATAGAAACCATGGATTCATGAAATTAAGTGGCATACTTAAGGTCTATCTTCCAAGTTTGAAACTTTTGGAGCCATACCAGGGACAAAAGGAAATAAAATTCAACCTTGTAATCCCAGGCCACAACTGGAAGATAAGTCTCATGGTATGTCTGGGTATTCAGGGGCTGCCTTCAAATTATCCTATTAATATGCCATCATTGCTCAAGATAGACCACCCCCACACACATAAACAGTACAAGCTACCCACATTTAATGGAATGAATCCTCCTGAAGTGTTCTGTTTAATTGAGTAAATCCTACTGAAGTGGTTTTACTTAACTGGCTATTAACTGTTGAAGT